TATGTAAACAGAATTGTTTCCAAGAATGATAAACCTAGCAAAATTCATGATATTTTGTCATATTTTATGCTTTTGTCGAAGATTTTTCTTTCCTTGGAGAATTAAAGTAGCTATTAATTGCAGTCAAAGAATTGTTTTCAAGGAAATGTCACATTGTCACTGTTAATGTGTTCACACTCCTGGTTTTGTATCAAATGTTCACTGGTGTAGAAAGATAAGTTTCCGTTGTCACGATTTATTTGTCTTTTGGTTGTAAATTGGCAATAAGAAACACAGAAATTTGTCTAGTTGTAAGATGTATACGTTTGTATTGGTTTGATAAGTTTCCGATATATTCTGTCTTTTTGATGATGTATGTTTATTGGCTAATATATACTTTTTACAGTTTATGTTGTGATTAACTGCTTGCAGTGAGGCCCACATTGGGGTTCATCCAGTCCCGCATTGTGCAGATATTTTACTATGCTGACTTCAATTTAGTGATTTTTCAATTAGAAAATATCCAGGTAGGTTTTGTTGATTTTATGGGAACATGATTATTGTAGGCTCGCAGCTTGGGCCTTGATACTTTACTGTTTTTGCCAGGAATCACCTCTGTTGAGCTTCTTGTTTAAATGTTTTTAAACACAGATGCATTTGTATTATATTCTAACAAAAAAAAAAAATATTTGGCATTATATTTTGTATCCATTGAAAATTTTGCTGAATGATCAAGAAAACAATTAAATTCAGAATGAAATTAATTTTTTCCTGAATAATGAATCGTAAGCTGCTCCAAATTAATGCATATTTATAACTACAATTGTAAATGAAAGAAAAAAAATCATGACCATAACTTAGAATACAGAATAGAAAGTTAACCGTTTTAATTGAGAGCCTGTTGTAAGCCTGCATATCTGTTCAGTATGACCAGCCATGCTACTGTATGTTAGCTGACCAAGTTTTAAATCTTCAAAGTTGATAATGAAATGTTTTGGAAACGTCAGTCTAAGCAATCCAGCATTGTGTGGTAAGGGCAGGGCATCTGTTAATGCAAGTTTGGGAGTAATTTACTCCTTGATTTTGGCTTGTGCATATGACTCCCAAAATTTAATGCTTTTCCTTCTTTACCTTTATAATGTGACTACCAATGTCAGAGATTTTGCAGTCTCTGACTTCCAAATTTAGAAAAACTAAATGGAAGCACTGTAAAGGATGAGTAATTACATATATGATGCTGATATATTTAAAATGTCTCCTCTTACTGTATGTTCCTCAAGTTATGTTATAATTGGCTATAATCCAAAGGTTCAGGATTTCTAAATAAGTATTTTTTAAAGTGTTGCATGCTGGTAATTATTAGAATTCTCAGTAATTAGATACATCAGAGGGCATGACAAATAATTTACACTGTAAAGGTATATACCAGATTCCAGTAACATAAGTAAATGAGCCTCATATTTATTTAAATTGCTGAAAATTTTGTGATAGATTTCTCTAACTTCGAGCTAGGAATTTTGAATATTTTGTTTGTAGTTTAAGAGATTTTGTTATCAAAATTCTCAAATTGAATACCAAACATTAAAAGAATGCAAGGTCAGGCCTGCACTGCAGTTGCTGTAATCTCAGGCAGCAGGAGCCAATAGTTAGTGGTGGTGTTGGTAGTTTTCACTCCGGATCACGTCAGAAAGCCGCTTTGAATTTACCAGAGCAAAGTTCAGCCACCACATCGTTCCTGGGCAGGCTGTCAAACAGTTTACCAGTATTGGTTGCCTTCACTTTCTCATGGAACTGAAACCTCTGTACATGCCAGAGCAAAGGTACAGTGTGAATGACCATAGAAAAGATTTCATGATCAATGACAACGAAAGTGGCCGGCACCGTCCAGATGGCCAGATTCACAGTCCAATGCTCTTGTAACTTATTGAGCTAAACAGCCGGTACATAAAAGTCCAATAAAAAGTCCTTATAGGGAGGGTTTGTTTTGAAGCTGGTAACTGTTTCTACATTCATTTTAACAAGTCATAAATACTTTGTTAGTTGCTATTGTAACATATTATGCAAAGTAACTTGTCGGATTTTCCTGCTTTAAAAGAAATTCTTTTGATATTTTGCTGATAGAGATCGTGATGTTCCAACGCCAGTTTTTGAGCTGAAGACATATCACAATATAACGTGTTTTTTTTTAAATGATTGACATTAAATTCATGTGTTACGAACCAGGCCTGTTACCAGTGATGCATCTGTTTTTCAGTTTTCTGAGATAATATTCACAAATTTGATTGATTTTGTTCCATTTAGCTTGTAATACAGGATTCCATTGGTCTTTCTGATTGGCCTGTCAGATGTGAAAATGAAAAAAGTAAATTATCTATTGTAAAACACTGTCATTGTCTAGTGTTAATGTGATAATCTGGTGATCTGTATTGTGTGAGACTTGGCAAAATAATGCAGATTTTCCCCTACTGTATTTAATTTGCATGTTAAAAACCTCCCGCGGATGACAAAGAAATGGTAAGTTAAAAGGCATAACAGATAACTTTGAAAGTAAGATATTCAAAGTAGAGTTTGTAGATGATTTCGCTAAGAATTGTCAGATGTTAAATGTGAAGATGATTATTATTCAGTGAAAAAAAAAATCATACAAATGATGATTATGGGGATGGCATTGGTGATTACAATTGATGATGATGATGATGATGATGATGATGATGATGATGATGATGATGACAAAGATGAAAAGACAATGGTGGTGACAATGATGATGATGAAAGATGGTGATGAAATGAAAAGATGATGATGACGACGATGATGACGACGATGATGATGATGGTGGTGGTGATGATGATGACGATGGTGGTGGTGGTGGTGATGATGATGATGATGATGATGATGAAAGACTATGGTGGTGATAATGATGCTGATGATGATGCAAAATATGATGATGGTAATGGTGATGATGATGAAAAAGACAATGGTGGTGACAAGGATGATGATGATGGTTAAAAAGATGATGATGATGATGAAGATGTTGTTGACGATAATGTTGATGTTGATGATTATGATGAGGACGATAACAGTGGTAATGATTTTACATGTTTTTGTTTGTTTTCAAAACAAGAAAGTTAATATGCCTGCTTAAGGATTTGTGGAACATGTAAATGAAGACTTAATATGTAGGCTTGATGAATTGTTCAGTGTATCACAGGCATTTCTTTTAATGAGGAAAGAAGAAGAAACACTGTAAAACTACATCTTTCCATGTATGTTTTATAGGTTTAATGTCTTTTTCACCTCAATTAAAGATGTTCACAAATTACCGTTGTGGTCAGTAACATTCCAAGATTCTAATTGTAAAGAAGTTTTTTCTTTTTCCTCTTCAGATAATTGACAATTTTTCAGAACAATTATACTAAATGAGGTGAATGACTTCAGATGAAATAGAAGACTGTAGAGTTTTGAAGCCATGTGTTAAGGCAATGGGTATTACTTATGATGTAAGAATTTTCTTTTGAGATTCTTCGCACAGCTAAAATATTTCAATGGTTCCATTTTGTTTTATTGCCAAATATATGTTATGGTAAACAAATTATGGTCAAACCTTAAACTGTTTAGAATGTGTTGTAACATATTAAGTCATTCTTTTGTGAAGGCACAGCTCTTTTCTTGTAGTGAAGAAGGCACAGGACTTTTCTTGGTGTAAAGAAGGCACAGCTCTTTTCTTGTTGTGAAGAAGGCACAGCTCTTTTCATGTTTTACAGCTCTTGAGTATTTCTGAAAAATAACATAATGACACAATATAATAAGATGTAGTTTATGACACCGGTTAATTATGCTTATTGATAATTGAGTGTTAATTGATGTTCAAACTAAATGTTAGAGTACTAATCCTAATCATACTCACTGTTTTTCTGTTTTGAGCATGATAGCAAGGCATTACTGAGAATTTTGTTTTTGTTTTGTATGCACTTGTGGTTTGATACTACTTGGTTTTGTAGTCAATGTGCTTGGTTATTGATTACTTATAGTTTCAATTGCATTACTGGATGTAAATCTGAAAAACTATACTGCACAATGTTGAAAATATGATAACACAGTCAAAATTTATAGATATTTCCAAAACGTACCTAAGATTATCCAGTTATGACAACATTGACATCATTCAATGTCATTTCAATAAATGTCTTTGTAAGGACAAGAAAAAAAATAGTACTGCTTAACAAAACCCCCCCAAAAAACCCTTACTTCACAAAATTTCTTTAATGGATTTGTCATTCTTTCAATATGGACAAAACCATTCATCTTTTTTTAGGGAAAATTTAAAAACATGTCAAGACCGAATAGCAATCAGTGCACTGACCATGATCAGATGGCAATTGGATGGGTAGATAATAACTGTTGCAGCCAGCAAGGTGTAAGGGTTAAATTACTTGTTTTCATATGTGAGGTCAATTAACAATTCGGCACCTTAGTGCAGTAACGTGTTAACGTCTATAAATTTATATAAGGAGTTAACCTGTTACTGCACTAAGGTGACAAATGATTATATTTGCATTTTCGTCTTCCTTTGGAGAAGAACTGACCAATCACTTTATTACTTAATGTATAACGGCAGACGGCGGCATTGTGTTTCTGGTTCGTTGACGGTGGTTGTCGTACCAAATCAACATCATGGCTTCCTTTACTTGTTGTTTGGGATATCACAAAGAATCCGGAGGAAAAGATTTATTCATGAAAAACAATTCATTTCTCCCCGATACAGTATTATCAAGAGGTTGCAAAATGGCGTCACTAATTTCATTGACGAAGCAGACATTCCTTTGGTTCCAACTTGTTATCCAACATAACTAACGAAATTAAAGTTTGCAACAAGCTTCGGGCACACCACATGATCAATATATTTTCTCACCCCCCATTTCACTTCTCATATATTTTTTCACAAATGATCAGGGTTTACTAGAAACAAATCAGAATCTTTATGGATAAATGTTTTGTCTTCTATATTGCTGATGGTGTATTGGAAAACCTGTTGCGGGGATGTTATTTGATCGCGACTGACATTGGAAATCAACATGTGTGCTAAACTGTTTGACTAGTGATTGGATTTTAGTGCATTTAAATTTCTAAATTCATTAAAATGGGATTTATTTTTTCTAATAAATATCATAGTAATTATGCTTAATGTTATTAGATATGATATTGTATAGATAAATAATAGATTAATCTTTATTTCTTGAGACTAACTTGAAATAAATATTGAATATCATATCTTTAAGTTTCAAAGGAAGACGTCTTTTTTTATCTGCCACATTTTATTTTAAAGAATTTGATGTAATATGTATGTACTATATCTTGACCAAACATTTTTAACTATATTTATTAAAGATATCTAAACTTTAATTTTAAGAATAAAATTTGTCACTTCTACTGTTTTTAACAAATATAAAAATAATAAATTTCTGCAGTTTTTATTGAAATTACTTTGGAGACAGAAGCAAAATAAATTACTTTAGGGTAGGATTTTAAAAAAAGCCATGAAAGAACAAGTAACATTTTATTTTAGATTATAATATTACACATTGACATTATAATGACTACCTTACAATCTTTTTAATCTAGAAAAATGATGATCTGTAAGTCAATATGGTATTTTGGTTTTATTATTTAGACTTCTTATACTTTTAATGAAAAGAGAAATGAGCATTTTATATTTGAGAATATAAATAAAAGATGTTGATAATCATCATCTGGTTACTTTGGAAACAAAATTTTCAAGAAATATAGTATTTATGTAAACATACATTTTAGATATATTATATGAAAAATCTTCAATTTTTTATCTGATATTTAAATCAAACAAGACTGAGACATCCTGAGAAAATTATTTCAGTTAAAGCTAGGATTAATTAATTAATAAGTAATTAAAGTATAATGAAATTTAGTTGAATTATCTTTCATGAATAAATTATCTGTGACAATTAATTTTATTATCAAAATTTGAAAGATTTTTTTTATTAGTTAAAAATTTCATCCTATGGTGATTCATAAAATTATCTATTCTTGAAAACCAGTTTAATGTGTTAAATTTCAAAAAGCTGCTATGATACTTTTTTTTAAAGGGTATGAAGCTATATTAGACTGGCTGAAATCAGTAGGGTTCTTTTTTGTATTTCGTCAAAAGTCATACCAACAAAATTGTACAATATAAATTGATAAGATTTTGTTTGTAAGTTCCCAATGAAAGCTGATGAGGCTACTAACTGCCAGTCATTGCACTTTACCTTCTTTAAACAGAATTTGAAAAATCTTATTTGGGAATGTTTTATTCAGTGTTTTCTCATAATTAAATTATTCATGTGCATTAAATTTTGAAGTTTTTGTAGTACGCTGCCCATGTTATTTACAACCTGTTAGAAAAAAATTAATGGAGGAGATCTTTATTTTTTTTTTCTATTCATCAGGTAACAAGCATCTAACATTTCTCGGAAACTATTATTTAAACAATATAAAATTCATGCAGTTTTACCCTTTTCTAAAGAAGTTAAAATTTATTTGTTTCTGAAGCGTAATGTGCCTTTAATCAAATTAAGTTTTATAAACTAAGACAAAGTAAGGATTTAGCAATACACATCAGCATGATTGCAAATAATTAAAAGCAAAAAATAAATTAATTGATGGGTTTCAAACCTATAAGGATCTTATAGTCAGATACACTGAATACAATTTTATAAAAAAAAACGCTCAAAGCAATGAAAAGGAATATACGAGACAGAAATTCTCTTTGAATTAAATTATTCAATAAACAATGCATTTCAAGGACTGATGCCATTTTAACTAGAGCTGATTTCAATGTCGATGAATTCCCTTAGTCTCACATCACTTTGGTTTTCTACTCTATCGATATTGACATTTAAATTTTATTCATGGAATTCTAAATGGCCATCCAGATCTTGAAAATCTATCTTATATTTGACATCTTGAAAAACGAGGGAATTTTTTAATTTTAATACAATTTTTTGTTTTTTTGGTGAGTGACTAATTTCATTTGCATATTTGAGAGGGAAACTAAAAAAGCTTCGGAAAATTTAAAAAAAATCTTATTCAATTAAAAAAGGTTCAGTCTACAATCAATAAAAAACGTAATACAATTAAATATAGCAAACATATCATATTTATTTTGGCATTTATGATGACCGTTAAGCATTAGGTATTTAAAGCCGGTCAAATGTCCCCAACCCCCCAAAAAAGTTATGCTTTTACATCACTGAAAAATTTGTCGCCGAAAGTTTACAATACAATACAATACATTTATACAATACAATACAGAATTATTGAATACAATATAGAATACAATGTAAATACAATATATAATATAAATACAATAATATAAATACAATATACAATACACTAGACAATACAGTTTAAAGTAACGTAATAATTTACAGTGATCTTTGCTTGATGATAATTGTTTGACAAAAAAATGAAACTTTATTTTATATTTTCTAATTGTGCTCTTGTTTTCTGCTGAACATGTTAATGTACTTATATACTTAAAAAAAAAATCATGCATCTAACACCTTTCTGACACATGATAATGTCATCTTATTCAGGATTTATTATCATTAACACAATAATTGATGTGTAAAATGAAAGGAAATGGTTCTTTTTGATGTTCTTGTCATTTTCTTAAATCCAAATAGAAATTATTTTACTTAAGGCAGTAAATGACAAGTTTTTCTTTGATCGTAATACTTAGTAATGAGATTTTCCTTAGGTCTGAATTTTTGTTATATAATGTAAAGACATGCTTTAAATGCTTGAAAATCCAGGCTTTGATGGAATTGACATAGTGACGAAAACAGATGTGTATGTCATTATGAGCGAATGAATTTATGAATTTAATTTAGTAAATGCTGTAGAAATAATTTATCTGTTGGTCTGAATACAAATACGGCAATTTCTATTCTTAAAGTTTGCTGGTTATCAATTCAAAATGAAGTTTTGCTACATAGAATGCTCTTAAATGATCATCAGATACTTTTTTTTACTTCTAGAAATATGATTTTCTTTTTAGATTAAATTATACAAAGAAAAGAAATTGTGTTAATTTTAAGATGTTTTCACCTCTTTGAAACCTGCATACAACTTTAAGAGAAAAAGAAAGGAAGAAAATAAAGAAGGAATATTTCCCATTTTAACAAAATATATTATTGTAACCTAGTAACATGTAAGAACTTGCGAGAATAAATCATGTAGAAAAAGTCTAAGAAAGTGCATGAATTTTCAAAGATTTCAAATCTCGACGGAGCATACGTCATTCATAGAAGACCATGTCTAGAAGGGAAATCCCATGTGTTTGCGAACGGAGAAGTGTTTTACGAGGAAAACAAAACAAAGTTACTGTAAAGTATATCACCCTGATGCCGGCTTAATGTCGACCATTGTGTACAACTCCGCTTACAACTATAATCAATTATGTACGAGAAGGTCGCGGAGCCGGAAGTTCAATTTAAACATGTACTGGTATAGGAACCTGTACCGCCGACAACGGCAACTTGAACACTACTGGACCCTATACCATAATCCATTAGAAGGTAATTCTTAGAAATATATGAGCATCATGGAAATTATTATAAGGCACTTTATAATATATATTATGTAACGGTGATTACACTGCTCAAATTATGCTCAGCTTTTAATTTTGTATTGCCATGGTGTGTTTGAATAATTTTAGTATCGAATGTTCATTAAATAATGTAAATAAATAAAAGTTACGTTTTTGATCATAAATTGTCTTTATTAGTAGCAAAGATAATTGGTCATAGATGTAACATGATATCTGCTACCTGAATGATTATTAAAGAAAATAATTTTAAGGTAGTGACTGAAGTACTTTATAGAAAAGTTAAATAAAGCTGTAAAAAATTGTATTCACTACTAAAGTATTTGAAAGCAGGATAATCCATTGGTTATCAATTAACGACACAGAATACTGATAAAAAGAATTTGAGATACAAAACATGAAATATATTCTTAAAATTAAATATCTTTGGAAAGCAAACTGTAGAAATTTAGATTGATGTGCGTTTTTGAAAATATAAATACATATCTAGAAGGCATTGATTCTAAACAACGTTCCTACTGCATACATTACTCTGTGCCATTACATATAATTATTCGTCTTGTGAATAAAAGTCAAATTACCACCACTTAGAAATTATACGTTCCAGCATTACCGTTACCCATTGAAAATATGAATACTGGAATATTATTTACCATGCTATTTGCATAATATTGACAAGAGATATGCTTTATTTCGGTGAGTTGTTTCGTCGTTGGTTTTTTTTGCCGGAAGATCAATATGGAAGAAAAAAAGTTTTGCCTAATTTCGTTGATATTAGTGAGGATATTTGGGAATGTTTTCCTGTCAATAGGACGATCATAGATTGTCTTAACAAACATCCCAGCTGATGATATCTATAGACAGTGTAGCTTCCCGCGATACATTTAATTACCGTCCAGGGAGCTCATCTTATTAGTGAGCCGATTGGTATTAGGTTCACAGAAAATGTCCGTCTTTATAGCCGTAATTTGTTTTGCTTGTACAAGGAGGTAAGAAAACGGCTTAAGAATATTACTTGTTACTTGGTAATATAAGAATCCAATAAAAAGATATTATGGTGAAAGTTGAGCATTGTTAATATACTTGTGGCTTTCTGTAGTGCCGATTATGGCACTTTTATATTTACCTTAACCTGAGTATATAAAAATGCTCTTCCTTCAAAGTTTTTTTTTACCCCATAAGTCCATTTAATGTAATGAGTAAGGAATGTGTCAACGGGCAGTGTTGCATAGGCAAGTGTGAATAATTTAACCGCTTCCATTCAGAAAGTTAATTTAATTTAACCTGCGGAATACATGAAATAGACTTGTCCAGCTTCTTTTTCCAGTGTCAGTTTTTGGATATCAAGATTATTCAAAGCATTAGTCTGCAGTCAACTTTGACTAAACTGTAATAAAAAGCATTGGAAAAGAAGTGTTTCAGTGTTTTTTACATGTCATTTTAAGTTATAAATGGGTTAAGAATAATTTCTGAAGTAGGTACTAAATTCCCAAAAGAAATTTGAATCATAAATTTGTTGTATAAATCCATTGAAGATCTATATATGTACATGTGTATTAAAATTATTACTTTCATCCTATACACACTGTCTGTTACAAGATCTAACTATCTTCAGCTTAAGTTACTTAAAATTGTGCTGTTTTAAGGTTTTCACAGGAATTGTCACATACGTTTTATGCTGTTAACTATATTTTTTACAGCCTTCGATCCGAAATTGTCTAAGACTTTCAACATAACTTGATTACTTCGGGAGCTATTCTGTTTACTGAACACTCAGTTATAATGGATATTGAATAGAAAATTTATGACGGGATGTATCTTTGTTTAATAATTTTCCTTTTACCAGTTGCCTGGTATTTCAGCTGATTCATGCAGTTTATAATTTAATATCTCGGTAACAAATTTTGTTAACATTTTCTTTCTTGATTTTGGTGTTCTCATTTTGGTGTTTGGTATAAATGGCTATGATAAATTTTGTTATTGAAATTGTTAGACTGTGACTTATAATTATAGTATTTTGAATTTGTTACATGGACTCTTCGTCTAAAAAATTATATATGTGGTCATTTAGTATAGGATAATCTTTAATAATACATATTAACAAAAATAAATGGTCAAGAGTGCCTATTTGCATAGAATGAATACCTGAGGCATTGACATAATGACATTGAAGTTGACATTAGTCATGCCAGGAAGAAATTTTTTGCGCAATTCAGTTTAACATATTGCATGAATTAATGGTTGTACCTGTTGAATTCCCAGGTGGTTAGATCATTATAAGAACCTACATCCATTTGACAGCTGGAAATTGAAAGCTGCTTTTTTTATCCATAAACTAAATAGTTAAATTATTTTACCAAATTTTTAAACAGTTGTTTTTTTTATGAAAACTTTTTGCCCTGTGACATTAACTTTTAAATTCTTTCCAAAAAATATGTTCTTAAGGTTAAGAAAAAACAAACCCAATGTCAGCTAGATTAATTGACACTTAAGAGCACCACCGTCTAGATTTCATTCGAAAAATGACGAAGATATTGGACTATTTTTCTTCCTCAGAGTCATGTTAGTCTTTTTTCTGTCTATCCATGCAGCATTGAAACCGAATCAAAGGAAAACAATTACTTTTACGCCTATTGGGAATTATCTTCCTATGTATCAATGATAATAAACAGCTATAGTGTGAAATAAGCCCTCTATTTGATATTGTCAACTTCTGATTGCAAGAACGTAAAAAAACGTCCATTGGAACTATTTTGGCGCCCTGAGAAGACAACCAGTCTCAATGTAATCAACAACGCAGTCATTTTCAGGGAAAGTTATTTTAATGACTTCTCTTTCACTGCGAAGACCTATTGAATTACTGCAGATTAAAACAGGTTTGTAAAGGGTTAAATTCTTTAAATGTATTATAGTCTAAGCATTGTTGTTGTCATTTGTTGATAGATAAAGAATGTATAAAATGGTAAACGTGAAATGATAGTCCCCGATTTTCACAATATTTACCTCCCTTGCCATAAGTGGCAGCCATTTTGGGGGTCAATGGTCTAAAAAATTTATTTGACAAAATATGGAAAAAAAATTACTGATTTATGTGTATTGTCAAATTCTTTTATACAAATGAATGTTTATGTTTAATATTAAAGCACCAATATGTGAAACAATTTATCAATTTGTTCACTAAGATGATAGAATTATGAGAGATTTTTATCCTACCTTTGGAAATGACCCTCAAAATGGTGGCATGTAGGTGGGGTGGGGTGGGGGAAGGGTAATAATTGCTATGTGAAAAGCATCTGTAAAATACAGTGTCCTCAAGTCCAGCCTAAACTATATCATGTAACAGCTATGCAAGATACAATAATTATGGTTTGATATTGAGTTTCACGCAGCTTTTTTGTGCTGTTGTAATTTATGTATTTTGATAAAACTTGGAAATTTCTACTCATTGCTGCCAATTTTCAGAAACTTTAATCATTTGGAGCAACTATTTGTTGTTTAGACGAGGACATTTCAGAACTACGGCAGTTTTTACAATGTGTTGATACCAATTTAAATGATTACAAATTGTGTTTAACTGCGGTCTTTTTTATTTCAATTTTCTCATCCAGGGATATGGAGAAAATCCGGTATCATTCTGATAGCGAAACGCGTAATTTGCTTAGGATTAAAAGGAAATTGTTTAGTTTGATTTAGTTTTATTTTAATGAAAGTTTGAAATTGAAACATGGCTATAGCCATTTGTCTCTCGCCTCATGTGTCTTAAAATTGCGATGTAATTCCGATGTCTAATCTGTTTATATTTCGCCTCTAGACTTAAATTTCAATTTCTGAATTTTCTTGTTGCAAATATTTCAGCTATATAATCAAGATGAATAAACTTTTTTTTTGACAATTTCGCTACAAAATATCTCAGAAAACCGACTCCCCAGTGCCGGAATAACATATATGTGTATATATACATGCATAGAAAAGTTCAGGAAGTAACGTATAATGTTTTGTATTGAAATTGTATGATACTAGATATGTCAGAATAACTGTATGACAAGTGTCCTGCTGTAAGATTATTTTATTTATTCATGACACAGGGACTTTTTACTAATAAGAAAACCGCTCTAGCCAAATTATAATTTCCATAGCCATATAAATAAAATTTTAGCAAATGGTTGATTCTTACTCATGTGCCCATGCACTTAAATTGTGGCTTAAATGGGCAGTCTTTCACTGCCAGTAATTAAAAGCTGGAAAGTCACCTTGAGTATAGTCGGGGATATTAGTGGGAGTCAAGGTCTTAGTGATGTTAAAAAATGAATTCCAATTTTGCTCTTCAACTGTTACCTTTATTTATTGATCGATGTGCATTGAAATAGATTGATAAATGTACAGCTAGGTCTGGGGATCATACATTGTGCAACTTTGCCTTAAGCGATTTCTTGTACTTTCATTAATGTCAAGGTAAATTTGCTACATATTCTTCAAAATTTCCTTAATGAAAAATCGTAATGTCTTAAACCATGAAAATAAATACTGCACGAGAAATAACAATCAACAAAAAAAAAAACTGAGTCATGCCTCAATTTTGTCATTATTTTGCAGTAAATCTCAAATTTCCTTCTACTTTGTAAAGTTTATACTTAAAACAGTAATAAAAGAAGCTTGATCAATTGAAAAATATACTTTATAGTTTCGATACTTTTACATTTTTCAGGATTATAAAAGGATCTCAGTTAAAAGTGTAAGTAGATATTGTCCATGAACTGACATTTTTAATTAAATTAAAATACAAGAGCCTGCAATTTAAATTCTGTCATACTTTTTGTCAGCTTTCTTTTGACCAACATAGTTAAATGATAATTTTTAAGAATTTTGTAATTAAAATAATGTTTGTTTCCTGTAAACATTTAAGCAGGAGTGTGTTTTCGTGCATTTCCGTTGGAGGGGGCAGGGTGTAACGAAGAGCTATATTTAATTCAT